CTGGCTGGAAGAGATGAGATAGCAAGACAAGCAGCTCACCTGATACTTTGACTCAGCTCTTCGTCTCCATTTTCATCTCCATGTGATGTCTATGACAGAAAGGTACAACTCAAGTTAAGTACAGAGTGATGGCGCTTTTCACTGAACACAGTCACCAGCAAGTTAACAGTTCTTTCACACAAATTATGGACTGTTTTACCAATTTTGTGGCAGTTCCGTTACATTACCTAATAATTTTACAAGTGATACAAATTATTTTCAAATGAAAATTTTATGACATTGTACTCATTTCTTACCAGATCTCTTGGTTTCCGTAAAAGAAATAAAAGACATATTCCTAGGCCACACACGGTTGTAAACACTGTATACACAGTTCTTCTTACAGAGTCACCTAAAACAAACATCATAAATTATTACAAAGATCGATATAAAATTCACATTATCTGTCTGTGAGTCAATGTACATGTACCAGTGATTACTCTGATATTTTGAGATGGATAAATAATTTGAATTCTCATATTGCTACCATTCACTCACTAAGTATTTCAAATCACGTTTAAGAATGCAAACACAAATATTACCGCTAACTTATTTTTTTTATTATTGATGATTTTTATTTTTACTTTGAGCTGTGCAGTGCATAAATTACTTAAATGCAGTGACTGTATGTCTTGAATTTAGAGCCTACTTTCACATGATTGCATTTTGCAATAATTATGATTAGTTACTCAATTTGCTTCACCACAATGCAATGGCACATGCAATTTCAAACTTAACACTTTTAAATGTTATTTTAAATAGACAACTAAAGATTTATCAGGGCAAACAAATTCACCGGTTTGGTTGCCTGGCTTGCCAGAAATTTTGTTACAACCAACTTAAAACCACTATCACTTGAACACTATGAACCACTCTAGTGCTAGCTAGAGTGCAGGGGGCTGCAGGTATATACAATTCTATTATTTAATATATGCCCTATGCTGTAGGCCTCATGCCTGGCATGGTGCAATAAGGACAGGTGATCATAACGACAATGATGATGATGATGGTTGTATAATTCCCTTTGCGTACATTACAGTAATTCCCAATAGATTGCCAGGTAATAAGACTTCTAAACACTGACTTACTAATTGTTTGTGATTCATCCTTGAACTGGAAGTACACATACATGTTTCCAAAAAGCAAGCTGCAAAGAAGGTAGTAAATCTAATGAAACTTTAATGCAAAAACTAGATGACGTAGATGTACATGATTGTATGTTTTTATATTCTGGATAAAAATGGCAATATAAAACACAAATGGTAGAAAGCTTGCATGCTTATGACAAATAGTCTATTCGTCATATTCGTGCAAGTTTTCTTACCATTTGTGTTTATATTAGGCACTGTTATGGCTCCCTTATTTCATTACCAACTGACCTATATTCACCAAAAACATAAACCTGACCATAATTGAGAAGATGTAGTGATCATTGTGACCAGAAATTATTACTAATTAATGTGTTCCTCAGGGAGGTGGGGTTATGCAAATGATTATGTACATGTTTTGTATACAATGCATGTGTATGCCATTTTCATCTGAGCGTCAAAAGTTATTTGTATTTGCTTTCAATATTGGTTTTACATTACTATATATGTTACACGACAAACATGCACCACTTTGTCATCCAATCAGAGGTTAATACACCAAAACCAAAAATTTGTAACTGAGTCGCTCACACACAATTTCCAGCACTTCACGTCAGCTACATAAATTTGCTTCAAATTTTAATTGGTTTACTGCATTTTATAATATGTCCTTTGTTACTGGCCAGATAACCTTGGGTTTTGTTTTACGATACTTGTGACCACTGAAAACTACTATTAATAATTGCATTAGAGCCAATGAAAGGTCACATTGCATTAGTGAACTGATCTTCTGGAGTCTTTCTCACTTACCTGCATTGTAGCAAAGCCCAAAAGATACCACTGTTTCTTGAAATGGTTTCAGGAGTAGAATTTATTGTTAGAAAGTTACCTTGGCCTGTCCATATAACTAGGGAGAAAACAATTTTAAAGAATTGTCCTGAAGTTATACTTTTAATTAATCACAGGGTCTGGATTGCAACCTGGTTCGGTTGTTGTTGTTCAGGTAAATTTTAAAACAGTGTCTTTCCTTGCTGACACTGTTTATCTCAAACATGTTTCAGAAACACCCTGCCACATGATTTCAAATGCAGTGCATCCACATCTTAAATTTAGGTATAGTGCCACATCTGAAACGACAAGGCTTCGTGTTTCATGTCAAACTCATTCAAAAACTACAAATTGAAGTAGCATATCATTGTTGGTTAGTAACTCAGTCCAGCTCCCAACAAACACATTTTTTTAAATTTACAGTCTGCAAATAAACCTTTTGACATTCATGCTTCTGTGACAGTCATACTCATAAAAATCAAACAGAATTAACCCAGTAAAATAAAGAGACATGAGTACAGTAACAACTTCTGACATTCTCCTTACAACATTTCTGTCTCCTACTGAGAGTACATATTTTTCTGTATTTGACTTGCAATAATAGGAAATTTCTTGGTAATTACCTACCTAATTTTTGGACACACTTAATTTCGTGAAAATTTGGGAGCTGTATTTGGCATGTAATAATTTTTGTGATTCCAGGAAAAGGCTGTTCACAAGAGATTTTAATTTTTCAATTTTGCCACTGTTGTCATAGATCTCTGGAATCCTGATCTGAGGACCCTGTTTCACAACACAAGCCTATAAATGGAAAATTTGACAACTCTTCTAAAGAGATTTTGGCAGATTTACAAGCAGAAAACTCACTAGTACAAAACAAGACCACTTGAACACTTTTGACCAATGAGCCCATGACTTGGAACATTTAAAATCCATGTATTGTTTCCTTATATAATCTAGTATAAAGTTAATTGCATGTTTAATTTTTACACTCTCCTTTGGTTGCAAGACAGTATTAATTTTCACAACTTTTCCAAAGCGGGAAAATCACGAAATTTGGTATGTGCAAAAAATAGTAAGAACAAGGTACCATACATGCCTGAAAAATACAATGGACCACCCCTTATCCATAATACTGAGAGTAAAAAACCTTCAGCATGTTTTTGTAACATTAAAATAAACAAAGAAAATTACCACTGGCTCCATAACCAATAACAACTGAGCCCAGGTACACACTCCAAGCTTTTGGCTGAATGAGACTTGCTATAAACAAACTGAAAATCAAAAGCAATAGTTATCATTATATTGGTGAATAACTCTTAAGTCAGTGCACCGATTAAAAACTCTCAATTCAGTCCCTACCCATGTAGCACAAAACCATGTGTTGATCTCATTAATTTCACTCTAAATCATCACCACAGGCAGACCAAATGTATACAAATTAATAGGGTTTCAGCCATTTAGGAAAATGTACAAGAATGCTTTGAAAATTGCTCTAAATGCAGTGTAGAAATAAACAAAAATAAAAGTGGGCATTAAAAAATAAACCAGCATTGTGGACATGCTAGTTTCAAGTGAAAATAGTTCTTTACTATCTCATGTACTAATAACAATAAAGAAGGAGTCCCTTACGCATAGCAGATCCCACCCACTATCATGGACACCCTTGGTCCAAATAATCCAACAAAGGATGGTGCCAGCCAGTTAGCCACAGTGAATACAGCATAGATGATACCGAGGCTATAAAGATTAAAAGAGCACACATTAAATGCACATTTTAAACAACGTGATGTTGATAACAAAATGTGTTCTGACTCAATAAAGTATTACTTGTAATTAAAAAAACCCTGACTGTTCAGTTTGCCTCCAGAACAACTTCATAATAATTACTTACTATAGATACATGTGTATTCATACATGCATCTAATGCTAACTGCGGGTTGAGTGAATTTTATTTCTCGTTTACTTCATTGTTCATATTCCTTTATTTTGTTATGTTTCGCTTTCTGTTTGTATTAATAAATTGTTCTTGCTGTTGTTTTTACATTAATAAATACATAGGCTATATTAGTTGTTTTTTTTTTTTTTAAATATCTTTGTGGTCAAGTGTATGTTGAGAAAAAACCTGGCTACAGCCTGTGATCAACTGATGACATATTGCTACTGGTATCTGAAAGTAACACAAAGAAGTCTCTAGGAGATCAGACATTTGGCATAGCAGTGATGTTGATATTTGACCAGGGTATAGTAATAGAATGGACTGCCATCACCATTTGGAATGAGGCAAATTTTAACGGGTTTAAGCAGCTGTTAATGACAGCTATATAGTTAAATTTTTTAAGATGTAAAGCACACTTGATCATTTTATGGAAAGTTGCACAGACAAATTTTTAATTCTATAATTATGATATTTTTACACTACTGGTAATTTTGTTTCAATTGCCTTTTTCAAGCCTATTTGAAAAGACAGGATTGTCCCTCACCAGAAGCATATGCTTCTGCCCTTACCTAACATATCCATCTATCTTTTCTGAAAAAGAAAGTAAACATAAACATAAGGAAACATATTTTTGCAATATTTGTCCCTGTGCTAATGGCATCGTGTATGCCAGGTTTTCTGTGCATCTCTATGGGCTTGCATTACTAATAATAGGTTTTTGTGTGCTAAGAATTGTAGATAAATACCAGTCACCATAATTTTTTCTACAAAGGATGGATTGCAATCTAAAGTTCATTTTTAATAACCAATCACAGCTTGTATTAAATGCAACATTTTTGGTGAAAATTGTATGCAATAAAATATCAGAGTGAGAGATTTGTTTTTCAGAGTACACACAAGGCAGGGCTGTGCTCTAGAGGAGCCCAGGTGCCAAAGGTGACTAACTTTTGCCTTTTGGCAACTGGACAAATTTTCTATTTTCATACAAGCTAAGTACTGGACGCCCAGGATTTCATGGTTAGGAACCTTTGGGCTCCTCGTAATTTTTCTTCAACCATGGCCTTGCAGGGGTTTCATTAACTTTTTCAGCAGGAGGGTAACTGGTTTTCACAGATGGACAAAAATCTTTGGACTGAACTTCTTTATGTGAAAAACGTTCCTCTTGATGGTCAAACTAGGTGGGCAAAATCATCCTCAAAGCCAGTCAATTTGCCCAGTGCCTGGCTCTTAATAAAACCCCTGACACACAAGCCTTTAGGAGAGTGTGTAGTATGGGATATACATGTACCTCTATTCCATACCTCATTTAAAACAGGTTATTTACTTTAATTATTGCACTCATAGAAACACACATGTGCATTGTAAGAATTCCGACTTACCATCTTTGTTGGTACTATTTCTGAAACTCTGTAACACTGTGGGCTGAAAGCAGAGAAGAGGTAATTCATGAAAATAATAAGAAAACAGTCCCTGTGTGAATGAGCAAGTTTCTATGTAATATGCAATAGAAACCCAGAACTAGCATGAGCTAGTGCAAAGAACTAGAATTAATTTTATATTGTGATAATCAAAATTAAATATTAACAGTGCCATGACTTCAGCTGCGGTCACCTAAGAGTTTTTAACCAAATTATCACAGCATAATAATTATTGTTAAAGAAAGTCTGAGTTTGTTTGTGATCTCACCAATATTAATCCTGTTTTAGGATTAAGATTTTTTTTTTTT